AAAAAAAAAAAAAAAAAAAAAAAAAAAACAAGAAAAAAAGCGATCGCTCTTTCAAATAATCTATTGACTTTTGACCTATCTAGGAACTTTTTGTTCGCCCTATAAAATTATAAAATCTATATACAAGAGTAAAATAAATGAAAAACAAAAAAATATTTTTTTAAAAAAGGAAGAAAAAGAATAGGAAAACGAAGGGAGAAATGACCGATAGACGCAAAGGTCAAAGAGTCACGCGTTTTCGACTGGTCGCAATTTCAATTCTCATTTCTTTTTTCTATCTATCGTTCTATCCATCCATCTATCCATCGATCTATCTATCTATCTATCTATCTATCTATGTGAATATTTGTTTTGTTTAGCTTATAATCATATTAGTTCGAACGAAATTCAACGAAGCTAGCAACTCGTTCTATTTTTTTTCTCTCTCTCTCTCTCTCTCTCTCTCTTCGTTTTAATTTTGTCATATAGGTATAGATTCTATATTTTTTTGTTGGAACTTTTCTTACAAAACATCGAAATAAACGAAAGGTAATAAAAAATTATTAAATAAATTCAGGTCGCAATAATTGTATTACTACGTCGATCTCAAATGGTACTCAATAACAATCGATCCTTCAAATACAGTCGAAATAAAAATTATTATTACTAACATAGAATTGATTTAATTCGGTGTAACCTGTTTGCAAAATGAAAATTTTATTTTCGTCGAGCGCGAAAAAAAGAAGAAAGAATTTATTCGTAAGTATTTCGACTTTTTTTTATCTCGAATTAAATCGTAATTTTGTATTATTGTCATAACAATTTCGAATACGAAAGGAAAAATTAATCTATTAAAAAAACAGGATGAGTTAAAAATTAGTAGACGAATCAAAACGATTCCTAAAATTGTAATTTTACAATCTGTGGGGAAAAAAGAAAAACCAAATTTAGTCGAATTAATTTGTAAAATCAGTAAAGATTGCTCGATCCACCATGTATTTCACAATTTCTAAATGTAATACTTTTATAAATCATAATTTTATTCTTGTTTCAGTTTGAGACACATTAAAGAAATAAAAAAAAAAAAATTAATATTAATTTATTACAAATATTATATAATATAGTATATATATATATAATATTATATCCTAAATATCAATTTTTCTAAATAATTTTAGGTATTCAATTAAATAATAAACATATTTCCTAGTAAAAACACACCGTGAAAAAATATTTGTGTACGGGATACTAACCAGGAAATATCTTTCTTGTCTGCTTAATATTTACTCGAACTACTACCAGCCTTATCTCAGCGTCGAGTTTTCTTACGTAATAAGTCGAAAACAAAAGAAAACTCGAGGAAAAGAGTAAAAGGAATGGAGAAACTCTTCTTCCTCTTCCTCTTCCTTTTCCACCACCACCTCCACCTCTTTCTCGTCGTCGTTGTCGTTGTCGTTGTCGTTGTCGTTGTCCCAGGGCTTTCTAATTACAACTGGGGCTCCTACGGCGCTAATAAAGTGAATTTCAACGTTTGTTTTTCCACGTGTAAGCCGTAGTAGTAGACAGTAGTCAGCCAAACGAGTCTTGGATATCGACCTCACTTGCAAGAATTTAAAAAACAACCAACAGATCCGACCATCTTTTCCTTTGAGGATACATTTACGATACGACTATCATTTCTAATGTAATTTTTATCACTTAAATCGAAACATTAAAATAATACAAGGACATAACATATTTGTTACTTGATCGAAAAGTTTTCAATCTAATATAAAAACTCAATTTTGTTTTTTTCCACATAATTTTGAAACTTTTCAACACACCCTCGTATTATATGTATGCCAATAATTTTGAAAATAAACTAATAAGCTCTACAATTAAACAAATTGATTTTATAATACGAATCATTTTTATCTACAAGTAAATCATAAAATAAAATTGTTTTTTTTTTGTTGATTTAATCCATTTTCATAATTATTAGTACATATTAACAAAATATATGTTAAAATTTGTTCTTCTTTTTCCACTGTAAAAAAGATTGGACATTTTGTTAACGCGAAATAGCTTCGAAAGATAAAGGAAAAATAAAATGTTTGCTATCCTAGACATCGAAAATATTTCGAAGACAACTTTTCTTTCAAATTTGTCGTTGTAAATCTGCATTATATGCACACGCATATATAACAATATTCCTTAATCATTAAATATATAAGCAAATAAAATATGTAAAAAAAATGCTAGGACGACATATCCATTCGTAATAACAAAATATTAGATAAACTTAACCTAATTTCTGTATAGCTTCCGTTCGCATGTCGATTTCCAATGAAATATGTATACGGGGGCAGGTGAAAGAGGGGAACGATGAAAAGTTATAGGAAATAAAAAGGCGGATATAATAATTTACAATTCCGAGGGATGGAAATTTTAAAAACAAAATCAAAAAATAAAATAAAATAAGATTTGAAAAAATATACAAAACAAGACCCGAATCCATTTGTCTTTTACTTCTATCCGACATTGTTAAAAACATTTTCCTCCATTTAGTTGGAAGTTCTTAAAGAGAGTATTAGCAAAAACCGAAGAGGAAAAGAAAGGTAACATTTGTTTGGCGCCGTCACAACTATGGCGATGTTTCGTAAATAATGTTAGAAAACGTTTTTCTACTGGTCAGTAGTTAAACCCCACGTCAAGTCAGGCGCAAGCTGACTTAAGTAGAAAACTCAAACATAAAGAGGCGCCGAGAAACAGATTATTAAACGGTCACAATAATGAAATAAAACAATACAACAACTCAATAATAAAAATGGTAAAATGTATAAAAAAACGATTTTTAAATTAACAAATAATAATGATACTAATAAATAACGATAAAATTCTTTTTATAAAGTACGAAATAGAAATAATACGATCGTGATATATTATAATTTAAATCAAATATTACGTTCACGTTGTTGTCCTTGAAAAAAAAATTAAAATAAAAAGAAACTTAGGAAAATGAAATTATCTACTTGCATTTCACGTATTTAGATACGCGATAGACATAGATAATTTAAACATATATATATATATATATATATATAGGTGATAGAACATTTTCCTCGACCTTGAAAATACAAAGAGATATTAAAAGTCTCTTCTTACACAAGAGCAGTGTGACATTCAATACGACAACGTTATCGAAAAACGAGCTATCATTTATTTTTTCTAACCTTCGAATCTAAGAGATTCGAAAAAAAGAAAAGAATAATTTTCAATCTTCTTCTTTCTCTTTCGTTTTCGTCGAGAAAAAAAAAATATATACATATGCACATAAATAACAAAAAGAGAAGAATACCTTGGAGCTATGTACGTAAGTAGTAAACACGTACCTGTACCTGGTCGGGCCGACTCAAGGTCAGGTCACTAGGCCGTGGACACACACGATGTATGCTTTTCTTGCGCTTCTAGTTATGACGATGATAACGGTGATAATGACGAAGACGATGGTGTATCAATACAAATGAGATAACAGGTATGGTAATTGTAGTGGTGGTTCTAATGCTAATATCTTCTTCTTCTTCTTCTTCTTTTTTTTCTTCTTCTTCCTTTTCCACCACCTTCGTTTATACACACTTGGTTTAACTTCAATGTTCAATATTATTTCACTGATAATAACAAAAGAATAAAAGAAAAATTCGTAAATGTAAAAAATCAATGGAGAACATCGTAACTCGAGTGTTCAACTCCTCGGACAAGGGGTAGCGAGAGAAGAACATCGATGAGGTTATGTACGAGAACCTGCTTTTCTCAAAGGGTTGAACTCACTCTGATGAAGATGAGAGTATAAAAAGAAATAAAAATAAAAGGAAGGAAAAATTTTGTCAACAAACGTTCAACACCACCCTCGTGACACTTAAACAATCTCGTACCACACTGAGAGATGATAAATCTCTTATTTAAAACACGGCCTGGTTTGCTATTAGCGCGATGATAAGCCTTGTCGTGGGTCAAGGACCGAAGGACGAATTTAATACCGGACCGACCAGCTCCGAGCCGCTCGAGCTACGCCAACGTACTGCCGCGGGATCCATTTGTCGCGCGGAGTAACATCCCCACCACTCCTCCGTCGACCGCGCGACACCTCGGAGCATGCACCTCTTCGTCTTACCATCACTCTCACTCCCACCTTTTCCGCTCACTGCACCGTCCCACTACCAACAACCAGCTATCACAGACGAGGCCCGCGCAACGCCACTTCTCTATTTGTGCACATGCGCATTCACATTTTTCCTTATACCAAAGAAATACGAAAAATGACACATTCTTTTTTCTTCTCTCTTTCTTACCGCATTTCTTATTGTTCTTTCGATTTAATAAACTTGAACGATTATACTCGAAATGTTTACTTGTTACTTTATAATAGCAAAAAGATAAATAAAACTATTAATACGGCGATATTCAAAATAATTCGACCAATCGTAATCGTCCATTATGTTTAACGAATAAAACATCATGAAAAATGATATATCATTTTATATATTTACGCGTATGTATAAATACACGTTTTTTATACGTTTATTATATTTGAATTATTTTTTAAAGTAATGAGTTTTCAAAAATAAAATTTCTTACCATATCGAATTACTTTTGGATTGGATGTAACCTAAGATAATTTCGAAGAGGAATTTCAACATAATATCATATAGATTTTGTAAAGGATTAACCGCTGAAATTGATATGATTTCCTCGAAGATTTTATTTTATAACGGAAATATGATTTCTTAACAATCCGAGAGTAATACACTTGCGTCCACATTCGATGTACATTTAACATCGATACGCGGGAGAAGTGACGCGCGCTACAACGTTTCAACCAATCAGAAGCGAGTTCGTTTTTCAACGAGGATACGAATCGATAAGCGGTAGCCAACACGCGTTAGACGATGAAATACAGCGCCACCAGCATTTCATCCTTCTCTCTTCCTCTCTCCCTCTCTCGTTCTTACTGTATCTCTTTCTCTCACATCAGTGGCGGCCGTTTACACCAATCCTCCCACCAAAATGCATTGCGAAACACGTGATCACACATGACGCGGTAGCGACACCGTGCGTAAACGCAGCATACGTTTCTGCAAGAGAAAAAAAGAAAGAAAGAGACATGCGTCGTTAGAAATATGACGACATTTCTTCTATATATCTGACGATTCTGTTGTCTGTATTCATGCGCTAGCTAGCTAGCTAGCTGGCTACAAACAGAAAGGAAGATAGGAACTTAATGACAAATCAATATAATACGAATATACAATATCTACGATTGTTACACCTAACACAACAACGTCAAGTCAAAACGCAATCTGCGTATTGACCTCTATCTTTTTATTTCTAACTAGAATAGACGCTATCTTTCTTCGTATCAAAAATAATAATAATAAAACGTTTAGCAGAATCTAAGATTTATCGTGCGACATGATTTGACGATTCTCCTGTTTCCCTTTCTATCTATTTGATTAATACATTCTAGTTTCTTTTTTTGGCACGCAAAACGGACGTTTATAGAAACATTTCTTTTTAGTTTTTATTCCCCTTTTTTTAGTACTAACATAATAATCGAATCCAAGAGATAAATTATTATCGACCAAACCTTAATTCAAAAGATTTATTCGAATTCGTAATAATAATAATAATTATTATTATTAAATCGACGTATAGGATACTAGCTGGAAGAAATCAATCGCTGATTCGAAATACCGTCAAAATTTTGGCGCGAAACCGCATCACACCTCTGTACTAACATAAGAGAGAAAAAGTATGTTCTAGGCGGCGCCACATGACTTATCGAAAACAGAAAGGCAAACCGGTCATGGGGGGCTAGTTAACGACTGTACGCCGTGCTTGTGAATACGGTATTTTCTCTGCCAGGCCAGGCCAGGCTAGTTGTGCCCCTGATATACCATTCGCACACGCATATATACATTTATATATACATATAACATAACACACATACACATATTACATATACATACGGGAATATATACTATAGTACTATACTAACGGAAAAAAGCAGGAACGACGACTTATCGCCTCCGTTTTTTTTCTTCCCTCCCTGCGAGCGTGTGCGTGTGTGTTTTTTTTTTATATAAGATGGGAGCATATTTAGCGAAACCTATTACCAAGAAGATTTCCTCCGACAAAGTTGGAAAAAATGTAGCGTTCGGTGCGAGTTCCATGCAAGGTTGGCGTATCAGTCAAGAGGTAAGGGAAAAGAGAACTCTCTAAAGAATTCTAAAGAACCCGTTGAGAACGGGCTGTTGCAGTTGCACCGTTACTTTCATACTTTTACTTCATTATTATATTAGAATGATTTCGGTTAAGGAACTATCATTAATTCTACCGACCGGTACAACACCGGTGATGATTTATCATCCAAATATACTATATACTATTATTCTTGATGCCGTTAACTTTTCAAATTTTATTTATCGATATACAACTTATACACACATATATATATATATATATATAGATATATATGTATGTATTTATGTATATGTGTGTATATAGCTTTTTTAGATTTAAATATAAGTTTAACATACTCGTATGTATATCTTTCTCTCTCTCTCTCTCTCTGTCTCTCTCTCTCTCTGACTTTCTGATTATAAACGTAGCCCGCATTTCATATATATTCGGATATTATTCTAATGAGTTTTGTGCATGTTATATATTTTCAAATCATCGAATTGCACATTCACTACTTTGCGTTTTTTACTTTTCATTTTCTTTCCTTTCCCTCCTTTTTCTGTATATTGATTTTATTTATGTTTCTTGGTGTATGTGTGTGTTAGTTGTGTGTGTATGTGTATGTGTGTGGTGAATGTATGCTTTAATCCATTATTGTATATCACAATTATTTTTTTAATTATTATTATACATATATATATATATATATTGTATGTATATGTATGTATATATATATATATACAATTATATTATATATGTATATATATATATACATTTTTTATATATGCCTATACATCAGCTTATGTTTTCAGAAATAATTTTCAGAGCCCTGCATTTTGGTTTCTATATTTGCTTTTTATCAGATCCTTGATGTACTTGTGTTGGAAACATTTTGGTTACCACTCTGTTTCATTAAATTTCATATATTTATTTGGTTTAGTTTACAATGGATAAACAAATGGTTCATAACCTATTATTATTATTATATGCAATATGTCTGATATTTTTCCTATTAAACTGTGTCAGCATATTCTATGCAAGAGTATAAGAAAAATATGTTATACAAACATAAGTCGTTTAAAGCTTTATTCAAAAGATAAAATGCAAATTGATATGGTTTATTTATTTACTCGTAGGATGCCCACAACTGTTGCATAGAGTTTGACAAAGATGTTTCCTTATTCGCTGTATACGATGGCCATGGTGGACATGAGGTAGCAACATATTGCGCTCGTAATCTTCCCAATTTTATTAAAGAAACAGAAGCATATAAAAAAGGTGATATTAGGCAAGCATTGATTGATGCCTTTTTGGGTTTCGATGCTACACTAGCACAGCCTGAAGTAGTTACTGTTCTTAAAGAACTTGCAAATCCATCACCTCCAGGTTGTGAAGAGGATGAATTTAACGACACTGGTGCGTTTTTTATTGCACTAAGTATTTTTATTATGTCAGGTTATACTTTTATATACGTAATGTTGCTCCTCTTGTATCTTCTGAGAAATACTCTATTGCAATTATTTAATTATACGAAGAAATATTTAATAAGATTATCTTCACCGCCTATTGTCTTACGCATAGATGAAGAAGAAAATATTAGCGATCTACATTTAGAAGCTGCAATGCCGGTAGATCAAGTTATAGCAAGTTATCAGTCAGAGATATGGAATCTTCAGGCTAATCATTTGGCAAATGAGAAATCTACCAAACTCGCGCGTCCATATGTAATGGTAAGAAAAGGAAAGGATAAAGCTAGTTGTTCGTCATCTGGTGCTGGTTGTTCATCTTCATCATCTGCATGGAATACAAATGAAGCCGATGTTAGTAGCTCTAGCCAACCATGTCGTTCCTCTATGTCAGTCACAATGAAAAAGAAAGAATCATCTGGGAGTAACGAAGCAGAGCAAGTTCTTGACTCTACCACTAGTAATGGAAATATGCATGCATCTGTACCTGTAGTGTCTACTGCTGATATAGAAACTGCTAAATCTGCTGACATGCCGGATAGTTCAGAAGATGTCAAAGAAAAAGTATCCAGTCCTGGAAAGTCGGCATGTTCGGTAACAGTTACAAACGAAGTTGAATTAAATGGAGCAAAATCAAAAAGAATAGAAGGTGCGGATAGTAGTAAAGGAGGGGGTGACAATGTATCAAGCAGTTCTTGTACACCCGTAGAAAATGGAGATGCTGGACAGCAGGAAAGAATAAGTAGCAGTGGTCGAAGAAGAGTTCAATCAAGCGAGCTTTACCAAAGTTTTTTAAAGAGAAAAGATGATGAGTTGGAAGGTGATGATGATGATGATGAAAATGATGAAACATTTGATGGAGCCCTTGAAAGGTATAATAACTTGTTCGCGTCTGGTACTAAACTACTATTTAACTGTAATGAAAACTGTCACATGAATAAAATTAAAAGTTATATTGTACAAAAAATAAAATAAATAAACAAATATTGTAAAAAGTAAAGATTAAAGCATAATAAAATTTCAGTGATGAAGATGATACAGAAGATGTTGATGAAGATGAAAGCGACGAAGACGAAGATAATGAAGATGAGGATGAAGACGAAGATGAGGATGAAGATGAGGACGAAGATGATGAAGACTCTGTACTAAATTTGGAAGAGGTAATATAGTTCGCAAAGTATCATTGTTTTGATAAGAGAATAAATTTTGTAAGAGAAAATAAAATACTTATTGTATCTCTTATTTTTCTTATATAGCCAGGTGCCGATAGTGGATGTACAGCAGTTGTCGCCATACTCAAAGGAAACGAATTATACGTAGCTAATGCAGGAGATTCTCGATGCGTTTTGTGTAGGGATGGTCAAGCTCTTGAACTCAGTTTAGATCATAAACCAGAAGACGAGCCAGAAATGGAACGTATTATAAAGGCTGGTGGAAAAGTTTCGTTAGACGGCAGAGTGAACGGTGGCCTTAATCTTTCGAGAGCACTTGGAGATCATTCATACAAAAGAAATACAGTTTTACTACCACAAGAACAAATGATATCTGCGCTTCCAGATGTAAGGCATATTACCATTGAACCAGAAAGGGATGAATTCATGATATTGGCTTGCGACGGTATTTGGAATTTTATGTCGAGCCAGGGTGTTGTACAATTTATCAAAACGCGTTTAACCGAAAAGTATGATAACATTTCTAAAATTTGCGAAGAGGTAATTGATTTACATTTAATAATATTTCTTATTTTATTATATGTATTCTAATGATTTCTTTGATCTTTTGTATTACAGTTATTTGATCATTGTCTCGCACCGGATACTTTCGGCGATGGTACAGGATGTGATAATATGACAGCAGTGATCGTACGATTTAAACCACCATCCTCGAATGCAACGAACGCAACAATAGCCGAAGTTTGTGTAAAAGATAAAAGACCATTGTCACCTTCTAGCCCTAATAAAGAGAGCAACGATTGCTCTACCGAGGAAAATAGAATGCAATCTTGCAAACGTCTTAAAACAGAAGCAGCTATTTAAATTATCAACTAAAACATTGATTTTATAAACTGCTGATCTCCTCTTCTTTCCAAGAGCAGATGGATGAATGTGAAATTCATTTCCAAACAATGTACTGCATTGTAAAAAACTGTTCATTGAAGATGAGTGTATAATCATTAACGTACAGTAACGATTAGTTACTACATAAATGTGTGATGAAGGAAGAGAGTGTGTTAGTATGGTGGCTGTTGGTTATAGACTGAAAGATATTGGAGCACATGAAGATGATACGTTGCTTCTTTCTTTTTTACGTTTTATTTACAAAATATAACGATCGGAAGTATATGTGCATTCATGTCTGAAAAGGAGAATACAAGAATTTTTCTTGTACTTTTATTTATTTCTTTTCTCTTTATTTTTAGTAAATCAGATAGAAAACACAAAAATGTTAAAATGCTACTTTCTAAAAGTCACAGATTCGGTCAAATTTCTTTAAAAAGTTAATACACATCGTAAATTATATATAAATGAAGTATAAATCTTAAAACATAATTTTCGTTAAAACAATAATCAAAATATGAAAATTGCAATCATACATCTAATTTCCAAAGTTATGGTTGATTTATTTAAATCTTTTTTTCTCTCTCTCTCACTCTCACTCTCACTCTCTCTCTCTCACTTCTTTTTTTTTTTAATTATTTAATTTAACTTTCTAAGTAAAGTTAATCGCTTATCATCTCATTTGCTCCATTAATTTGACGAAATATGCTCTTTAAGTTGTTAGCCTACTTATAATATAGTAAGTATATGTAATTGTACATATTTATAAAATTTAGGGTATAGGATTTATATTTGTAATAATTCAAAACACTATACATACACATATATATAAACACTCACACACGCAATACTCAACATAAACACAAGTACACAAACAGACACCGTTTCTTATCTTTACAAAATAAAGTTTATTTTTGAATCCCTGGGGTACAATGGTTGAACGGGCATAATCTTTGAGCATAAAAAAAAAACTTTCATTGCAGAATTAAAACGTCCGCTTATCAGATGTTATCGTTCTATGGTTTTTTGTATTGATGATATTGTTAACAGAAAAAAAAAAAGAAAAAAAACGTAATAATAATAATATTAATAATAATAATAATGATATTAATAATAATAATAATAATAATAATAATAATAAATAAATAGTAATCTCACGTTACGTTACTTCGAAAGTGCCATCGCACTTTTGTCAATGAATTCGAACGCTCCTCTTTTATGTAGAAACTAATACGATGGATAATTGAAATTTTTCATCGATAGTATTCGATATATTTACTTACATAGAGAAAAGATCAATCTGAAAACTTATGTATAATATAATATACTATACTATACTATATTATACTGCATAAGGGCATCTCGTGTGCGAGCATTCATCACTTGTGACATATAATTATTGTACGATAGAAAATAAGAAGTAAGAAACAATCATTTCTCGACAACAAAATGTAAATATATGTCGCTCCCATTTAACTGTATCAATTCGATTACGTTCATTGATTTTATCGAAAGAAACAAATAAGAAAAAAAAAAAAAAACAATATGTGGAACGAAAGACCTAATTAAAACAAAACAAAAAAAAAATGCAAAAGCACAAAACGTTGTTATGGTGCCTAAAACTGTAATCGCTGCTAGAAAAAAGAAAAAGAAAAAAAAAAAAAAACAAATATAATAACTCGATGATTCTCTCGTGTCGTAGAATATTCTCAATGAAATTGTCAATACGGTTTGACAAACTGTTTGTAGATTTTTATAACGATACTCGTGTACGAGTCTCCAGAGTATCGATTCAAAAAAATAAAACTGATGTGCCTTTTCAATTCAGGGGTTTGTCAACTTAACCGATATGTGTACTGTGTAACTCTTGACACCATTATTATTCTTATTAAGAAGGGTTCTCTCGTACACCCCCACCCTACCACCCTCAACCCTTCAACACCCCCAAACCCCCTTCATGAATTCTTTTAAGCTACAAACTTCGACTCAAACTTATGTACAAAATAGTAATATTCTGATTCATAATATATGTTCATTCGATTAGTCTATAACTTAATTATTATTATTATTAGCATTATTATTATTATTATTATTATTGTTTTTTTTTTCAACACTCTTTCCCTCTATTACAAAATATTCAATTACAGTTGCGATTATTATTATTATTATTATTATTATTATTATTATTATTATTATTATTATTTTTGTTTTGTGATGAATTTTAATTGACTGTTAAATGCTCAATCGTTTCCAGCTGTTCCATTTCAATTTTTTTCAACGAGTCATATTGAATTTTCAAACGTTCTAATTCCATTGATTTCTCCATAATCAATGCCTGAAATTTTGTTTTCATTTAATTAATTAATAAGAAAAAGAAAAAAAAAGCAAGGATTGTCAATAACAACCTGTATTTGTTGTTTCTGCGCGTCTCTTTGCTTTTCAACCGAACGCAACAAATTTCGCGCGCCAATCGTCCGCATTTTTTCTTTTTCAACCTCGTTCGCCCAGTTGTCCATCAGATCGATGAATTTGTTACAATTCTTTTGAAAGTCCACAATTCCTATTTAAAAAATGGCGAACGAATGAATTTCAAAAATAAAAAAGAAAAATAAATGACGTTCGATTACTTATAATTTTTTGGTTTGCAAATAAATAAATTGTATATAAATTACAAAAAAAAATAAAATATATTTTAGGTAAACGAGAATGATAAAAATGACGGTACAGTCTTCGAAATAACTTGAAGAAATATCTATTCTCTTCTATTAATTTTGTTTATTTTATTAATCGATAAAATAAAAAAAAAAAAAAAAAAAGATTTAAACATCAAAATGTGCACATGTAACGCACTGGCGTAAAATGAGAATTCTCTCGTCTTAATTTTAATGGATTTCTAATTAGAAAATAAAAAAATAAAAAAGAAAGTAAAGAAGAAAACAAAAACGTTCTTGGGAATTTCGTTTTCTTTCTTTCGTACCGTACTGTACCGTCATACCGTAGAGCATGCATGACAATTCTTGATCGAAAGACGTGTTATGGTAGTGAACAGATAACCAAAAAGTTAAAATCAAAAGAAAATTCGAGTCAGAATAAAGTGGATTCCAAAATCTACGATATTTTCATTCGAGGAGTGCAAAAAACTATGTGCTTAAATGAAAGGATCTATGTAAAAGAAAGGAAAAACGAATCATAATGTTGGAAAGTGTGCATAAAAGAATCTTCTCAATCAATATCATTGCTGAACAAGATCAACAACGACTGACTGACTTACTGGTAATGAAATTTTGACATTCCTCCTTTAATTTATTCGTTTGATTAGCTACTTCCGGTTCTAAGATACAAATTTTACTTAAATCATCTATATAAAGGCCATACTTCGTCAACGAATCAGCCATACTTCTATTCAACAACAAACAAAACAAACTAATATTATCTTTTTTACCTTCGATACGCATGCGTTAATTTTTGTTTTCGCGCTGGGTTGTCAATGGTGATCTATTTACATAGATATATATATATTTTCTTTATTGACGCTTTTTTTTTCTTTTGTATATAACGTATAGTTTAAAAGTATTTGTTTTATTTGTTATATTTGTTATATTGTTTTTATTAGTAACTTATTATAATATTTGTACTTTTTCTGTTTCTTAATTAATTATATTTTTTAATGTAAAATCACGCGTTTAAATTTAATTTAATTTTATTGTAACGGTAAATAGAGATTTGATAAAAGTAAATAAAGAATTCAATTAAAAATTACATCTGCCAATTGGACGATTTATATTTCAGGCTATTCTATCACTTGATTGTATGATTAATATAGTTTTCTTCTTGTTACAGGTGATCATCGCTGGATTTAACAACAAACCTTGGAGATTTTCCTCTATTTGAACGCCTTAAATGATTACTTTTTAAAATATATGTATAATGCATTTCTGAAGGCACACATATGTTTATACATTAAAAATTAAATATAGTTATATAAAATTCTATATTACAATATATAATTATACTATATATATATATATACTATCAAAGTATATATCATATACTCCTCATATACTATCAAAGAATACAATACAATATTCTTTGATAGTATTGTACAATCATCGCGTAAAGTACCTACTATCGCCCACTGGTAGTCCCGGTAGTAACTGGGAGTAAAATTTAACTGGGTAGATAAAAAAGGGGACTTGTGAGCTACTATGTATTTCTGTATTCTTTGATATATCTTTGTATAGCACATTATTGACAACCGATTGCTCATATGTAGGTAAATTACCGACGTACAATAGGTAAAGAAATTGAAACACAGATGGGAATACAGCACGTGCACGCATTATACACGCGATACGATATCTATATTGAAGCTTAACGATCCTGGCTCGTTGTTTGTGCCACTAGTCATTCAGCAAAATGGGGGTACGGTAGGATGCATTCTTTCGTGTCGAATCGCGCGAAGAAGCTGTGTGATTTGTAATATCTCGTGAATAATAATAATAAATCATTACGATTACGATGAAGTTATACAAGGCTACCTAAAAAGGGATGATCATCTAATCGATTATATTAGTTCGTTCGTCGTTCGTCGAACGTAAAAAAAAAAGGGGAAAGATATAAAGATTAAAGAAAAAGATAGAAAAAAAATTCGATCGAGAGTGCGTGCGTCGAGTGCCTAACTTCGTGTCTGTCGTTGTCGTCGTCGTCGTTGTACGGTTGATTTGACACTTTGAAAAAAAACAGAAAAGAAAACAAAAAATCAAGAACTCGTTATATCACACCCCGCCTCCCCCTTTTTTACATTTCTTTATATTTTGTCTTATTTAATTTATTTTCACGATACACGTACACGACACACACATATATACGTACGTAAGTTTTGATTAATTAATTAAATCTTTTTTGGAGTTGTGTCGAAGCTCGTTATGTCTGGAAATCATGAAACGTTTAATAATAAAACAAAGTGTCCTTCGGAGTACGTAAAGTTAAATATCGGTGGTTCTTTGCATTATACGACTTTGGGAACATTGCAAAAACATGACACGATGTTACGCGCCATGTTCAGTAATCGTATGAAGATTCTTACCGACTCCGAAGGTAAGATATTTTATGCTAAATATAAATTTACGTGTTGTTAAATCAATTTCAATGATACCTTTTTTCTTTCCTATTCACGATTAATACGATATATCATTGTACAACGATATTATATTTATTCTCGATAAACGTTTGATCATTTCGAGATCATTAACCGTGCGGCCACCATCTTTTTTTTTCTGTTTTGATCTGTTCTATCTCTTTCTACACAAAAAATACATATTTTATATATTAAAATATTGTATTGAAGTAATATATGCGTGCATATTAAATGACGTATTAAGTGTAATATAGTATCTTATCAAGAATAATAAATTATAGTGAGAGATATTCATTACGTTTAAGTGACATATTGAGAATTTTTATTTGCTGTCAGTTTGTATGAAGTATTAAACTATTCTCATAAATTCAAATTATATAGATTTTCTTTTTTTTATAAAATAATATGCACTTTTTATTTGAACATTAGGGAGATGATCTTTACTAAAAATATTTTTTTCTTCTATTTATTTAATTACTTTTTTTTAATAGCAAGTCATTGACACAGTTGTTTTTAAGTTATATTTATAAATTTTGCTATAGGATGGGTAATAATTGACCGGTGTGGGAAACACTTTGGTACAATATTGAATTTCCTAAGAGACGGTTCAGTTCCATTGCCAGAAAGCGCCAAAGAAATGGCAGAACTTTTATCAGAAGCTAAATACTATTGTATCAGCGAGTTAGCAGAATCATGTGAGCAAGCGCTTCTTAGGAAAGAACGCGAAGCTGAATCCATTTGTACCGTCTCATTGATTACGTCTCAAAGAGAAGAACAACTTCTTATAAGTAATACTGCTAAGCCAGTAGTAAAACTTATTATAAATAGGCACAATAACAAATACTCATATACAAGGTAGTATTATAAATAATTTTTGTAGTTAAGTTATTTGACGACGTAAGTTAAGGCATTCTCTTTGATAAAAATAAACAATAAATAAATATATGTAATCTTTTATATCATTCCAGTACATCAGACGACAATCTATTAAAAAATATAGAATTATTTGATAAAATGTCTCTTAGATTTAATGGTAGGGTGCTATTTATCAAGGATGTTATCGGTTCGAGCGAAATTTGCTGTTGGACATTTTACGGCCACGGTCGTAAAGTAGCCGAAGTATGCTGCCATTCGATTGTGTATGCAACAGATAAAAAACATACAAAGGTAAGATTTAAAATCAATGAGATATATCTATCTATCTACCTATCTGTAATGTGCGAATACACTCAAAAATATATAACCAGTAATGACCTTAAATTCCTTGATATTCAGGTCGAATTTCCAGAAGCTCGCATTTATGAGGAAATGTTAAATATTTTATTATACGAACATCGTAATGGACCAGATCAAGAATTAATGCAGGCAACATCTTCTCGTGGTGCTGTAGGTGGTGCACCACCTTGTACATCCGACGAAGAAGAGGGTGAGCGTTCCGGTTTGGCTCGCCTTCGCTCCAACAAACAAAATACCAACTGACCCAGCCTGCCCATCCTTAACACGTTAAGCGCTAAGCCTCTTTTGTTGAGTTTTCCATTTAGGCCACGATGAACACTATTGGCCATAGAAAAACATAGAAATGTTACCCATCAGTGACCATCATGGCCTGGATAGAAAGTCTAAAGCTGATTGCTCTGCAGGAACTGGCATGGCGTTTAACGCGTTAATCCGCAATATCCAGCAATTTGTACAATTTTTAATGTTGTTCGCTCTCTTAAAACTCTAACTAATATAATATAGGATAAACATACATATATTAGTAAAAGACAGGAGATGCGACACACGCATAGACACTAAAAAAGAACAATTCGGTGTGCCCTTGCTCCTCATTCTTTCTATCTTTCTTTTTATTTCTTTTTTTTTTTTTACACAAAAATTCTTAAATCACAATGCTAAACTATCAAAACTAAACGACAGGCTATATCTCATTGAATTTTTTATCGCAATAGTAGTTTTTTTGTTATTATTTGTTACTGCTGCTGCTGCCGTAACGGTGTATCTTAATTCCTCACATGTTTAAAATAGTATTTAAATTAATGTCAAAGCAGAATGACTAACTCATCTTTTTAGATATATTCTACCTGTTAAAGTTAAAATGGGGACTACATTTTTTCAAACTTTTATCATAGAATTAATGATATATATATACACGGGAGATTAGATATCTAAGAACTTTTCATGTGCCAAACATTATATATTACGAGTCTAAATTGTCATTCTGCAATGAATGGAATTACTAAATTACAATGCATTTTATATCATATTAGAATTGCACTGTTACTTCTGTTATGAGTATTAGATATACTGTTATTATTATTTCTTATTACTATCATTATTATTAATATTATTAATATTATTATTATTATTATTATTTTTATTATTATTATTATTATTATTATTACTACAATCATCATCGTCATTTATTACTTTTACCACCATTACCTGCAACCACTTTTCAATTAGTACTACATTTTATTAATATTATATTCTTATAATCGTTGCTTTCAAAATGACGTTGTCATTTTCATTGTCACTACTATATTCTTTTATGGTATTATAATTACTACTATTATTATTTCATCATCATCATCGTCGTCGTTGTCACGATCATTGAATTTACTCGTAACTTGCATATGCAGACGGATTGTTAATTCCTCTCGTTTAAGGAGAATTTAGTTTTAATGAAATGCATATAGATTTTAAAATATTTGTGATAGAAAAAATTTCATGATATCGCAATTGTTGATAATAATGAATTTAACTTCATTACTAATGTGTATTATATTCTTCGACGTGTCGACGAGGGTGCTTATTTATGTTTATCTATGCTATGTTATAATAATAATTATTATTATTATTTCCATGCAAGAGTTAAACGTTGAATGCTAATTTCGCGTATTTATTGAGCTCTTTATTTTTTTTTCTGCACAAGCAATGTGTAAATATATTAACACAATTATCTTTTTATAATTTAACCGTTTGAGTTCCCGCAATTTTTAGAAAAATCCTATCGACAAATGCTATGTGGTTCGATAACGTATCAATTTTGCATTGCGGACCAATAACGTGACAATTTTCAACAAGAAATCTTAACAATGCTGCTTGGGACTCAAACGATTAATTATTATATGTTCCTTTATTTTTTTGTTTATTATTATACGATGAAATATCCGGCCTATTAGCTTAACTGATTTTTTAATAACAATTTAATATAGCTCGACAACACAATTTCAATCCAATTATTTATTTACATATATCGATATATGAATTTTTATAAAAATAGAGTTTGATAGATTTAGTTCTGCTAGTATTTATTGATTCGTTCTATTAACAGCAATGCATCACGCCTCAGAGTACGTTTTCTAATTGTCATTCGATTACTATTCCTTGTCGTATATTCTATTATTATTATTGTTATTATTATTATTATTATTATTCCTAATTTTTTAACACTTTTTATTGTCAAGTAATATTTTTCATTTAATGAATGTAAAATTTGGCTACTTGTCATTAGGATGAGAAGCATTACATTTTTATGTTTTCATTTTATTTTATTTTTATTTCGAGTGCTTATATGTTTGGATAAAGTATTAAACACGTTGATTATTAAAAAAAAAAAAGAGAAGACTGCAAACAATAATCTATAGACTGCTCAAAAAAGCAAAGTTTGTAAATCTAATTTAAATGCAACAATAATTAATCATTAAGTGCTTTGTTTTTCTTCTATTTAATTGTTGTATTATCTCTGTTCTTATGTCTGTATTATCTCTTATTAATTAAATAGTAAACACACTTGATCTTATAAAATTATATAAAATTTTCAATTTTATTATAAAATAATATATGGCAGAGATTATACAACTGTTTAATAGAAAAATCTTAGAAAGCTTTATACATGACTGTAGTAATAACGATGCGAACAAATATTGACCATATAATAAATTATTTTTGTAAAATTATTTTTTTCATCGTATATAAAAAATTGAAACAAAGTCAAATATTTTTAAAAGAACTAATCAAGAACCAAAATTTATTTTTCGCGTTGATAATTATCATCACGAATGTGTGATGTTGGTATCTCAATGGAAATTGGTATGTCATAAATATATGACACCTGTAGCGAACGTGTTAACAATTATTTTTTAAAGAATACAACTAAATCGATAAAGAAAGAAAATATTTAGATATATATATTTGTATGAAAAATGTTTGTTCATTCTTATTACTATGGTTTATTGTATATTGCTATGTTCAATTCAATGATATATAGTATGGACGTATTTTAATTTAACCCTTTTCTACACCAATGTAATCCATGAGACTGCAACATTTAATTATAAAAAATAAAAAATTAAAATATACATATAAATTAATACAAAAAAATTAATAAATCTGATAATAAATATGAAAATATAATTTTCTTTCTATTTGCATAAATGGTAGAGGTCTTTGGAATAAAAATATATAGAAAAAATTTAGCAGTCGTTGAATCTGGTTTGTTAAGGGTTGAATGTTCAATTATACGATATAATTATTTGTGTCGTTTAAAATTTTCATCAATATTATATTTCTTAATAATATATTTATGTGATTATATAAAAAGAAAAGAAAAAAAAATATCTAATACAAAACAAGTAAAACTAGGGGGGGGGGAAGGGAAGTTATTATATTAATTGTTTAAGTCCCAAGTAGAGTGATCATGCTCTTCAGATTTTATGTTAAAAAGGCAAAACTAACATTTGATTGTTGTGAACAACAACACTCAATTTTTTCCAACAAGATTAAGATAAAGAGCACTGGGACTCAAATGGTTAATGTAATAATAGTGATTAATGAATACAACAGGGTGTTTTTTTTGTAAATGATAATAAAACAAAAAAAGAAACAATAATTACAGTATTATCAGATATTACTAATATCTAACTAATAATACAAATCTACAATACACGGCATGAGACTAAACAATTTTAGACCATTCTTAATGTGTGATATACAAATAGGATTATATATTTAGAGATTATAGATATATCGTTATATATATTATATTATAAATATCTAAAATAATTATTAAATAGAAACGTTAAGCGAAGTAATATATATTATATATAAATATATATATATATATTTGGATGTATGTATGCACAGGTGGACAGGGACAAACAGACAGAGGGAGAGCGAGATTTAAATACATGCTGCAGCTAGAGAAGTGATTACAATTTATAAGAAAGGAAATATGTTGTTTATAATTTAAACAATACTTTTTTTTATCGATAATTAAATTAGAAGAAAATTAAGATATATATTGTTTATGTAGGATCGAACAACTTCCATACCCAAATAATAAAATAGCTATTCATGAGGAAATTGACCAGAAAGTTCTATATAGTTCGAAAGTTAGTTTTTAGTTGAATGGAAAATGAAAGACTTGGGTTCGTGTTCAGGATCAGTCCAATAGCCCAATTTTTTCTCGAATCCTACATTTACATATATCTTTTGTTTGAGGTGAGTTATATGATTTTGCAGAAAAATTATGTCTAGTATAACGAATTAAAAAGTAAAAGAAAAGAAATATTTTAAATTGTGTAATATTATATGCGCGTTTAACATTATATATATATGTGTCATTATTATTGTGTCAAAAATATAATTATTGTTTAATAATTATATTTTTTATATCTATATTATAGTTTTTAAAAGTATATTTCAACTTTTAATTTTATCCTTTCGCTGATTGAAATACGATATAGTCTTCCGATTAATATTGTTCTATTTAAGAAATATATTTAAATACATTTCAATTTGCGATAACATAAATAATGTTAATATATGACGGATAACTCTCAATATGCCAAAACAAACTAATCGATTAGAAACGAATTTAATTAATACATTTCTATTTTAATTGTAACGTATTCTCCAATCATTTTTATTAACATTGGAATGCGAATATTTTCTACTTTATTATGATTCATAAATATTAATTAAATTATTCCTAAAGTGTTCGTCCAAAAGAGTAGTGTTCTTTAAAGTGATTTCTTCTTTATTGTTACTGAGATGTATATATATAAACATTAAAAGAGTATTAATGTGTAATTACACAAAATCTGATAGATATAATAATTGAAAATCAGGGCTTCTCAAACCTTTCTGCTTGGCAACCACCTTATTTATCTAAGTAAATATTTTTACTAGTATTTGTTAATAATAAATCACAAAGAAAGTTTATTTGAAAAGAATTCTTTGATCTTTGAAATATTCATACTAATATTTTACTTTTATTAAAATTTCTGTGAACTCCTAAATTTAGTTAGACGATTCCATATAGAGCCGCAATTCATGCTTTGAGAAATCCGGTTTTTAATTATAAATTACGTGCCAAGAATCTTGTACCATCTTCTATTTTCTATAGATGATATACTTGGTATATGTGAAATAATATATAATAATTAAAAAAAATATATTTGTGCCCTGTATTAAAAAGTTTTAAAATGCATAACAATAAACGTTATAATATATATATTTGCAGTTAAAATTATATTAAATGTAGAATACAATGTGTTTATATGTAAGAAACAAACATAACATTTTTCCTGTGCTTTTTATACCTTACATTGTTAGGCAGGACTAATATCTATAAAATCTTTCAATCAAAGCGTCAATGAACATTGACACAATTATTAAAAATTCAATTATTATGAATGAAAAAGAATGAAAAGATATATATTTATGAGAAAATGATTTACTATTAATATATCTCTATATAAAACTATATAGACATTTAAATGTATTCAAACGAATAGGTTATTTTTGATTATAACTATCTGATTTTTTAAACAAATTGTTTTTTTTACGTACAATTCAATAATATAAAATTCTATCTTGACTTACCTCGCAAAAGTTTTAATTACAATAAGATATTTCTCTAATAATTATATAGGTTTATAATTTCAAATAAAGCAATATAACGACACTATACAATAATATAAACATTACAGTACTAAAAGTCGCTTATTAGCTGAGAGATTTCAACGAACATTAGTAACGTAAATATCCGCTAGAATGCAATGCGATAACACGATAACGGGTGTAAAAAAACAGAATTTCTTTGTAATAAAATAATACGAGACTAAGGAATGTTCTTTTGTAAGAATGTCGATACTATTATAATACGAAACGATTATTTGATGTTTCCATGTTAAACGAGTTCAATACTATGTAATAATTATATATTATTTTCCATAAAAACGATTGGGAGATAAGTTAGAAACATCAGGATCACGCGTTCCCCCACGCTACAATACAACCTATCAGGAAAGTTGATCGCTCGTAGACAATTGGTTAATAAACACGAGCCATCTCCGAGAGCCAATGATAATCGAACAGTACGTTTGATCGCCCCACCCACTAAAAAACAATAAGCCGGTGGCGCTACTTATCCGTTAGCGTAAAACACGAGTAGCGTTAGTCTCGCGCAGCACATTGCACGGTGTACTGGATAAGCGTTGATAAGTAAGATTAAAAAAACTGTCTCGTGCTAAAAGTCCTGAGAGACCGGGTTTGACGCGAATTATTCTAATAGTGTGTTTAAAAAAACCACTATCCGCGTATACGTACGTACACATATATACAGAAATATAGACACTCGACGTATTAACATATGCGCTTAATTAGATGAAGAACAGAAGAAATTCTACGGATAGATGAATAGAAGAGGAAAAAAGATAATTTTCTAAAGTACGACACGTTATTGCTCAAAGAGAAATAGAGGGGGGGGGAGATACAGTTAGAAAGAGAATAAAGTAGACATTAAATAGGAGAGGTCTTGTGTTACGAACGCGCACGTTGCCTTTCAACTTTGTTTATCTATCGATTTTCCTCGTCAAGAGGAGAGAACGTAGCCAGACATAACGATTCGTCAAGAGACAAAGCTACGAAAGTAAGGAAAGAGACATATATTTGCACGTGTATATGCGCGTGTGAGTATATATAATAAAAAATAGAAGAAGAAGAAGAAAAATTTGTATCGGTGGGAATGAAATAGATTTGGCCGTCGATGAAATTTCTTCTACCATATTAAGAATACGTAAAAACGAGGACAATACTAATTTACTTATCGTCGTGTTAAATTGTCATTAAAAGGAAAAGTTTATTTATTTCGGAGTAAAACTACGTACGAATTAAACTCGGTTAAAGTAGACTTTACCAGTTAGTGGTCCCGCGCGCGCGAGATATTAACTTCATTTCGAAGAAAAAGAATAAGAAGAAGAAGAGGAAAAGGAATAAGAAGAGGAAGAAGATAGAGAAGATAGAAAAGGTAGAAGGGAGGAGCCGGTAGAAGATTTCTCGTATCGAGAGACTCGCCTATGTTACGATACTTCATCGGTAAGTTCGTACAATTTCGCGATTGTTTCGATTTTCTAAAGAACGAGAAAGAACGTGTTACAAAACGAGAGAGAAAGAAATAAAGAAAAAGAGAAAGATAATAAAGATAAGTAGAGAGATATTTATCTACTATCAGTTAGACGTAGCGTGGAAAATGCATTTATACGCGTGCATGTGTGGATGAAAAAGGAGAGTCCACTTAATATCAGTTTCACGAATTCTCTTTCCTTCTCTTTCTCTCTCTCTCTCTCTCTCTCTCTCTCTCTCTCTCCTTCTCTCTCTCTCTGCGTGTATCGATAGAGTAAAGTCGTCCGCCCTTTTGATTTTCCATTTCACTTCGTCGCGGATGATAAAGAAGAAAAAGAAAGAATACAAAAAAATACAAGATATTATTAAAAACAGAAATTGTTTATTTTTCGTAAAATCGAGGTCACGGGTGGCGTGATACGAGAAATGTTTGTCTTTCTGTTACCCCGATGTCTAAATTTTTTCAAACGTGTCTCTCTCTCTCTCTCTCTCTCTTTTAAGGGGTTATCAAACGTATATCCCTTGTTCTATATTTCACTCCCACTTAAAGAGTATTAAACAGAGATACGTATATATTTTCACACGAGGGCTCTCGACCTTAATTCGAGGACGCGAACCGGGATTGTGCACTCTAACCTCCATGTGTTTGCCTGTCCGTCTGTCTGTCTATCCGTTCGTCCGTCCATCCATCCATCCATCCATCCATTTGCCGCTCGGTTGCCTCGTGTCCGTGATATGATGCTGTAACGACGGCATAGATACCGGTTCGCTGTTGTACGATGTCCGTCAGCCTATCATCTTCCGTCTTCTTTACACGCGATCGTGCGCTTCCGTCGTAAGAGTCATTCTCCTTTTACCTGATTCGTTCGACGAAATTTATGCACGAGAGTATGTTGTTCCTTCTTATTTCGCGCGTGTCACCATAACAAAAGAAGATAAAAAAAAAAAAAAGATATTAATTTGTTATGATCCTTTTAGCTTTTTCTCTCCCCCCCCTCTCTCTCTCTCTCTCTCTCTCTATCTCTATTTTTAATTCGTTCGAATATTGTTTTATTTTTAAAACATCTAATTTGTTTCTCCTTCTTCTCTTTTTTCTTGGATTTATTCTGACTTTTTTTGATTACGTAAATCGCTCGTAGTTAATTTTTTAAATTATGATTATTTGATCCGATTGACGGGATTTTTTATTCGGTTTGGTTTTTGTTGTTGTTTTTTTTTTTTTTTTTTTTTTTTTTTTTTTTTTTTTTTAAATCAGTAGATAAGTTTGTATCTTATTGATCGATGATTAATCTTTCTTGTTCTATTATACCGATCGATTCAAATAATTTATATTAATTTGAAAAAACTCTATACATTTATAAATATTATAATAAAATCAATGAGATCATTTTATTTTAGTATATTATAAGTAACCGAGATTTCCGGATGGATCAATCTCAGGGAGAATATTGTGCTTGCGCTTTATAGTCCCTATATACATATACGGAAGGATTTCACGAGTTGCCAAATGAAGAGAAGACTGCATAGCTATGAACTAGATATGTTGGACGAAAAGAATTTGATCGATAACGGGTGGTCTTTCATCTTTCGCAAACAAAGATTTTTCTTATTTTTATTTTTGTTTTCTTCTCGTTAAATCACTATCGATTTCAAACATATACAATCGATATTTACGTTTTAATTTTATTCGATTTATCTTCAATACAGTTCAGAAAAGAAAAGTTATTTAAATATTATGCTCACTGTTTTTCTTCAGATTATTCTATGCTTTTTTATCGTTTCTTTTATCAATCTTTTAAATTTGTTATAAAAAACGCTATAATAATTATATTTTACTATAGAAAAAAATATCCGCCACTTTTTTCTTCCACTTTTTTTTTTGTGTCTAATAAATGACTTGGTTCATAATAAAAAAATGTAACAATTTATTGGTCCGCTACGGTGTGTAGTCAGTTGAGAAACACTGGTATACAATGTGGGTTAAAAATTGTTCAAACAATGATCTTAACTTCCTTAATTGTTTAATATACAATTAAAAAATAAAACCCTAAAATTGTGCTCTAATTTACAGATTTAATTTTCATGATAAAATAAAAAAAAAACTTTTATTCTTATTTTTCATAAATAATATAAGTACGCGAGCGCTATAAGGTTTAATTTAATAAAAAAAATATATTTTGGTATATATATATATATATAGAAAATGAATTTCAGCGTGTATTAAACATATGTTTATTATGTTAAAAAGTTTCTAAGTTAATTTATTTTATAAATTAATTTTTTATTTCTCATTTTTTAATACTTCATTGTAAAAATTATTCCTCCAGCCGATTTTTCACTTTTTATTTCTTAGTATTTAATTATTCAATAAAAAAATATACTGAATCAGCGTTTTTCATTTAATTAACTATAAATACTGAAATCGCTGAAAAATGTTGATTGGCATTTTTGTTTTCATACGTCAAAGATATTGCTAAGATAATGCATAACGCTTCGTGCATGTAAAATTATTTTATGTGTAATAATCGTAGTATTTAGTTGGTCGTTATGTTAAAATACAATCGCGAACATTAACGGTAATTGTATTGATTAGTTTTAAGAAAAACTGCTTTTTCTTTTTTCTTTTTTAAATATTAACGTTATTGCGAATAAACAAATAATATATTTTACGTGTATACCGAAAAATGTATAGGAAATTAGGCTTAATTTCTTTCATAGTCGTAAAAAAACAAAAAAAAAATTTTCTTTAACTTTGAACTTAAGAATCAGAAAAGAAACGAAATAAAGTAAATTTAAAAAATAGCAAACTTTTTTTTACCTTCAGCATACATTTTAAACATTTTATGACAAATAATTTGTTAGTAGGATTGATAGAAAAAGAAAAAATCACTTTCACGAGAGCACATTTTATTATTGATTGAAATTCTTGCGTTGATCACAGTATATATTGATCAAGAGCAAATAATGACTTCGATGAAAAATCACGCATAACACGATAATTTGCATAAATAATTACTTGTTCAATTTTGATCTCATACGTTGTAAACAGAATTACAGATGATTGTAAAAACATTAACTCATAGACAATATATTCGTAAATAATTAATATTAATACATTGTTTTACTATTAATTTTTTAAATATGAATTATTTATATTTAGATAAATATGATTTTTATATAACATCTCCGAGAGAGAGAGAGACAGAGACGTAATTATATGTTTATAATAATAATAATTATGATAATCGTTTATATTATGTTTTATAAATAAAGAGGTTGGATTGAAAAGTTCTGTACCCAAAGAACAAAAAATGTTTTATTAAAAAAGAACATTTCTACTTTTAGGCATGAAACTTTTTAATCGACCCATTTATAATAATAAATAAATAAATAAATAAATAATCATAATATTGAGACATAATCGTGTTCTTTGTTTGTGCAGAATAAATTCACAATCACGACGAAAGACGAGAAGCCGATACGGACAAGATATTTCTTCGTGGGGGTTGTGTGTGATAAATAAACGAAGCTGAGTGAATATAAAAATAAAATAAAAAATAAAAGAATCTCAAGATGAATAAGATGGATTACATGGAAGTAACTTGCCCGAATTATTCTTACGTATTTAATTTTGAAGAAAAGTTTATGCATCAGGATACAAGAGCTTGGATGTTGAAACATTGGACAAGTGCATTTTATTATTGTGGTATATATATGATATTAATATTTGGTGGTCAACATTACATGGCTAGTAGACCGAAGTTTGAACTACGCGGTATTCTCACCATATGGAACACCCTCCTAGCATCATTTTCGATTATTGGATTCACCAGAACGGCCACTGAATTCATTCACGTTCTCAGGAATCATGGACTTTATTACAGCGTTTGTATACCAAGGTAAAAATCATTTTAATATTATTTCATCGTTCGTGTCTATCTAAGGTGGCACAATGAGAACTGCAATTTGAACTTGTTATTGAAAATTTGTATTCAAAGGAATAGTCATTTGTAACAAAATCCTATTCCTACTATTCGATTGATATCATTTTCCATAGATAATTTACGTTTGCATTAATACATTGGTATCGATGAGCATGAACATTTATAAACAAAAACTTGGCTTATATTTCATTGATTTAAAGTTGCAATTCTTGTTGCGTTACTCTTTCTTAATAATGTTTTTTTTTATTTATTTATTTATTTATTTATTATTTTCTTTTCTAATTTCAAAAATAATAAAGAATAAAATCGGTTGCCCGAAACACATTCGCGCCGATTTATAAATATACCTATATTATTTTATTTCATCTTTTTATTAATTAGCATTAATAATATTTTTTATATTTATAATACCTAAGAGTGTGTATAGGAAAGTTTTGACATAGAAACAATTCTTTTCGATCTGATTTCTTTTTGTTAAAAACAAAAAAAAACAAAAAATTTTCTTTTTCGTTGAAGCTCAAGACATTTCAACCCACCCTTGTATTTTTTAAACTTTCGCATTCGAAATTTCAAATGTTATAATTATGAGTCTTTCGTCTTTTTTTTTTTTATTTTTCTTTCCATGAGCAATGTCAAGTGTATTTTAATTCTCTCTGACACGAATAATAATTATCGTAAAAGTGACTCATTATTTCAAGGAAATGCCCGCAGACATTTTTTTATATCTAAAAAAAGCAAAGATTATGAAACTTTAATATAACTCGTAGAATATAAGTAAGTGTTCATTATTTATTAAAAAAAAAAAGGAAGTAAGTGTGCGCGTGAAGATTTTAAACATAACAAGGTATAATCATTTCTTTTATTATTTCTTTTTTACATCTTTTATTATTTCTTTTTTACATCTTTTATATTTAAAATAAAAATAAGTTGAAAAAGTTTCGACATTTTGATCTTACGCACAGATTTAATTATGCATACATTTTCGTTTTATTTTTCAATACATAAATATTATTTTTCAAATGATAAGACGTGCGATGATAAATAAACGATTTTTATTATCCCGAAAGATATACTGTTCGTAAGGAGGCTTTTCATTATTTTGTTCTTAATACTAATTGTAAATCTAAATTTAATTTTATTCATTTTTTAAAAATATTTAAAAACAAAAAATTCATAAATACTGTATAATTTTATTATTTTGTAATAGGATTTTGCTTTGAGGAACACAAGCAATATCATTTTCGTAATTATAATATATTTATGTAATTATGTTATAAAAAAAAACTAAATGCTAGTAAATGAAATTTAAGGAAGTTACTATTATATTTGTAAAGAAAATTTGTTTCTTTGTTCTGAGAAATTGAATTAATCAAATCCGACAAATCGAGATCATTTGAAAAGTCTTGGATTTTAAATAAATAATCTTCTTTTATTTATTATTGAAAGATACGAAATTACTTTTCGACTCATTTAAACTTAACGTAACTGGAGTCTTAGTTTTACGATTAAAGAATAAATAAGAAATGAAAATCTTTAAATGTTTCAAAAATGAAATAATTGATTTTGAAAATCAGAGAGAACAGTTTTAATTTATTTATATATATACGTAAATTGTATAATTTAATCGATAAATAAAATGTTCTTTATCTCAGATTTGCATAATTGTTTTAAAAAGAAATGTGTATAAAATTTTATTTATCATCATCATTCGATGTCGATCGTTTTTTTAGATAGATAAAAAGAGAGAAAAAGAGAAACAGACAGATAAATAGACAGTGAAATAGTTTTGAAATAGAAGATGAATTTGATGAAGCAATAATTATTTCTTATCTCAGAGATTTCTATAAACATGTAAACATGAAAACAATTTGTTATTGAATCACTCTTAATCAAATTTATATTAGAAATATTTTGAGAAAGATTATAAGTATAATAATAATCTTGAGAATTACGAAGAAATCATCCGATCATTATGAAAGTTGTTTAATCATATTTTATATATATATATATATATATACTTTCTTTATATGTTGAATTATAAANATTATTATTATTTCTTCTTTTGTATAATTGTAAGTTAAGGAAGAGAGAGAGATTCAACTTAGGAAGAAATATAAGTAATATTTATTTTTCGATAAAAACACACACAATGATTTTTCTTTATATCTTGAATTGTTTATAAGGATTACTTTTGTAAATGATTATATATTGAATCGAATATGTGTTACAGTTATGTTTTTTATAAGATTAATTTTATGTATTAATCATATGTGTATTTAAAAGAAGTTATAAAACGTATTAAAATTGGTTTTTAATTGTAATATATGCACGAATATTAACAAATTTGTATGGAAGTATTTTTAATTTACATCTAATTCATTTCAATTGATTCTTTTTAATTTTAAATGAAGTATTCTATCGATTTAAATTAACATAAATTACATTAATTCTGTTTAGACATATTAGATGAATTAGATTATCATGATTTTCATTAAATTTGAAAATAAAATATTTTTCAATAAAAAATATATTAATAAATTATATTGATAGATCTTATTTACATAATGTGACGTTAATTTCTCTTTATAATAATAATAATAATAATAATAATAATCATAATCATAAAAATAATTATTATAATCGATTCATGCATTCATATTAACTCAAACTTTCTATTTTAACAATCAAATCTTTTGCGAAATATAATTGCAAATATGTTCGATGAAATGCAATGTCGAAAGCTTATGCTACGTGTACGTGGGTGAATTGGAAACTTTTGTGCGTACCATAAAAACAAATTTTTTGTTTATTTCAGTTTAATTCACTTGTGTTTTAAAAAGAAAAATCGTATTAAAAGAATATGATGTTAAAAATAATGCGGTTTAAAACATGAATATCCTGCATGTATAGAAAACAGGATTGTAAGATTTTTTGAAATTACGTGCAAAAATAAAAGTGCGTTTGATCGAGAAACAAAAAAACATTGATTTTATGTTAAACTCAAACTTTATCAACTCACCCACGTATATTAAACTGAAACAATAATCCGTTCTTATATTATCCTGTATTTTGAAAAGCAATATTCTATTAAATGTACTATTCTATCGGATCTAATCAACGAATTAAATTTCAATTTCATACATTAAGTATTCGCCTACTCGTTAATTTTGATATTATCTCATTAAAGTATGTATTTCTGTATTCTTTCATACTTTAACAGATCAGTAACATATATAAACTTACAATTTAGCTGTAATAATTATTAAGAAAAGAAAAAAAACTAACTAGATAGATAAATAAATAAATAAATAAATAAATAATCTTGATTTTTTCGTATTGGAATGTTTCAGTTTCATCGTTCAAGACCGAGTGTCGGGCTTTTGGACATGGATGTTCGTGTTGTCGAAGTTACCCGAGCTCGGTGATACCGTGTTCATTGTTCTACGTAAACAACCATTAATATTTTTACATTGGTATCATCATATTACCGTGTTGCTATATTCATGGTTCTCTTACACGGAATACGCATCTTCTGCAAGGTGGTTTATCGTAATGAATTATTGCGTACATTCGTTGATGTACAGCTATTATGCTTTGAAAGCAATGCGTTATTCGCCACCTAAATGGATCTCGATGCTGGTCACGGGATTGCAATTGTCCCAAATGGTGATGGGTTGTGCTATCAACGTCTGGGCTTATCAGTACCTGAAACAAGGACAGTCAGAGTGTCATATATCACGACTCAATATCAGGCTTAGCCTGGCTATGTACTTCAGTTATTTTGTCCTATTCGCACACTTCTTCCATAAGGCCTATTTCAGCAGAGGCTCAAGTAAATCGAGCAAGAACAAATTGTATACTAATGGAACTATTACCACGGCTGATGATCACATGATCGTATCTACGAAATACGCGAATGGTAAACTGAAGGAAAATTAAGAAATAGAAGAAGAAGATGAAGAAGACAACTATTATTATACAACAATAATAACAAAATTTTCGGTGGGAAGAAGAAAATAAAAGAAAAAAAAGAGAGAGAGAGAGAGAGAAAACACTCAGTAACGCATAACATTTATGGTGCTCGCTAAATGAGGAAGCAAATAATATTTGTGTTATGGGGGGCGGGGGGAAGCTTTCTACATTTCATGCGAACCGATATCATTTTTTCGTTCTTAAGAGTAACATAAACGTACCCTTCCTTTTTTCTTTTTGTAATTTTTTTTTATATTATTATTATTATAACATATATATATATATATGAATTCATTTTGTTGTTTCTTATTTGAAACGTCTCTCTCGCGGTATCCGTGTATTATTGTCACTCTCAGTTAAAATGAAACTTTGATGTTATAATAATCGCGATTCGTTCGGGAAATTTCGATTTATTATTATTTTTATTTTAGTTTATTTTTTTTTTTTTGTTATTTTTCTTTCATTTTTTTTTGTTATTAAAAATGTTCTATTTTTTCTTTCTTTTCCTTTTCTTCTTTTCTTTTCACCGCGCTTATTTGTAATTCACGTATAATGTATCATAGTTTTACCATCATTCGGAGGATGGTAAAAAAAAGTGAGGAGACAAACCTGATAGAATAATTTTTATTTATCCTCTTCCTTCTCCTCCTCCTCTAGAATAAATGATAAATAATAATAATAATAAGAAGAAGAAGAAGAAGAATATTAATAATTAAAATAACACAATAATTATTATTATTATTATAGTGATTAAAAATATTAATAATAAATAATACGATAATAAGTTAATTATGGGATCTTTCACTGGTGTAAGAATATTTTGTTTCACGGCTCCGCACAAATTATTCTCTTAAAATTGTTCGCCGATTTTCAAATCCGCTGTCTGTCACGCTTTAATCATCGATTAGGATGATTAATTGATTTTTTTGTTTTCTTTCGTATCTTAAATTCTTCTCCGTCTCTTTTTTTTTTTTTTTTTTTCAACTGAATGAATTAAAATATTTAAATAAAAAAAAAAAGAAAAAAAAAAAATAACGAACAGTATGTGCAAAAGGAGAAAGAGAGGGGAGAGGAAGTTTGGGAAGAAATATAACAAAGTTAAATATTATTCACTTCTTGACAATATATGGCGGGCTCCCTGGCCGATTGATTATTTATTATTATTATTATTAATTTTCCTTTGTATTTATTTGATTTTTGTTTAATTATTTCTTTCTTTTTTTTTTTACGAGCTCACTCTCTTCGTCGGCCTAGAAAATATTTTTCCTACTACTAACTCCACTCGGTCGACGTGAGGAAAGAATAATTAAAGTTTACTTAAAAATTTAAAAACAATTTAAAAAAAAAAAACAAAAAAAAAAACAAAAAAAAACAAAAAAAGAAAAAAAAACAAAATGAAAAGAAGAAGAAAAAGAAGACTAAAAAAAAAAAAAGAAAAAGAGTAATGAAAAATAATCACGCAAAAATACACTTCATAAAATAAAAAGCGAAAAAGAAAAAAAAAAATAGCAAAATAAAAATACGACAAGGAGTTAAATTAAATCGTGGGGTGGGGCGAGGGGGGGGGAGGAACGGTGTGAATCATCGGGATTTTTAATTTTTGTTGAAAAATAATAAGTATAAAAGATAAAGAAGAAGAAGAAGAAGATTCTTGAATCGATTGAAATCGATTTGAAATTGTATCGCAGAGCTTACCATTCGATAAGTTAATTCGATTCGTTCGTTATTATGTTCTCTTGTGTGCTCAGAAGGCAGACACAAAATATAAGAGAGAAAAAAAAGGAAAAAAGAGAAGAGAGAGAGAGAGAGAGAGAGAGAGAGAAAGATAACGTTAGCGAGCTAAGGTGCCTGTTATGCTAGAAGAGAATTATAATAGATATTGATGATGATCTACTCGCAATGTCATGTAAGTTATTTTTTTTCGGACAAAAAATGGCGTCAGATTGCTTGGGAAGAGAGGAAAAACCAAAAAAAAAAAAACTGTCCAATTATCGCGAAAACAATATAAAAAAGTAACAATCAACGAATAAGAAAATCTCTGATGCAACAAGTTTGTATTTTCAATGTCGGATAAAAAAAGATTAGAGAAAGATAAGAGGATGAACGAAGCAAAAAAAAGTAATATCTCACAGTTAATTGAACATCGAGACAACATGTGCATCGTGTTCTGCCATCGTATAATTCTCGTAAGAAAGAGTCTAATTATCAATGATAATAACGATAAAAAACAAAGAATAACAAAATATACTTAATTATAATATTAATCTACATATTCACGTGATCGGAATGGATATAATAAACTCGTATGATGATTATGATGTAATGATGATTATGGTAATTTAAGTCTAGACAAAAATTGCTCTTTCTTACATACATACACACACACACGCATACACGTACGCGTATACTATATTACGTATTTTTATAAATCAATCGTGTAAAAAATTGATTTTTCATTTTCATTTTTATTAGGCTTGTCTTTTTTGTTTTTTTTCTTTTTTTAATCTTGCATATAAAATAGAACGAATAAGAGAGAGAAATATAAATTAAAATAGAGAAACATAGAGTTTGTGTTTTGTTATCAATTTGTATCGATCGATTATATAAAAATATTGTTGTTCGCGTTACTTTACTAGCTCTGCGAAACAAAGAAGTTTGTATGTTTGCTTTGATAATATTTAATTACGCGTGAAAAATTAATACAACATTTAAAACAAATGTTATTTGTCAACGTAAAATATAATTTAAATTTATTTGGATAATGTGGCTACGTCAATGATGGTATGCGCTTGTTTCTTTTATTTAATGTTCATGCCGCCATGATGCTGTTCACGATTTAGATGTTCGCGTCGGAGTCTTTCTAGCACATGCTAAGATAAGATTTTGATCCAGGATGTACAACGGAAACTATGTATTTATGTAATAATGGGTATGTATGTGTAATATGTGTGACCGTATATGTTTTTCTTTCTCTTCCTTTGTACATGTAAGAAAGAGAAAGATAAAGAGAGAAAAAGAGAGATATTGTATTAACGAGTGTTATATTGGCGCAGTTGCGATCATTCAACGATCTATGCATTTAACTGTCAACGTGTGTATATGTGCGCGCGCGGGTGTGCTCGCAATTACAATAAATTTACTCTGAATATTTTTTTTCTTTTATATATATATATAAATATTTTAATTAGGCATATGTAGATATATTCAATTGTCTTATAAGTTATTCCAATAAACGATCTGTAATTCATTTCCGCCATATTGGTTCCATAATTAATGTCGGTCATATTGTTTCCGTCATTAATTTCGATCATATTGTCTCCATCATTAATTTTTGCCGTATTGTTTCCACCGTTAATTTCAATCATATTACATTACTTTTCAGAATAAGTTTGATTATTGACAAATAATCAAACCTTTATTTTCAAATTTAATCATATTTAATAATACGTAAATATAATATGTACTATACTATATTGTTTGGTTAACAATTTTCTTTGAAAAAAAGAAAAAAAAAAAACAAAAAAAGTGTATTTTAAATTTAAACTTATTGGACAATTCGATTTATATATGTACATATTTGTTTGTCACTTAAATTTTTGATTTACTACAACCTCGATGTGTAATCTGCATTTTTTAAATTCTCGCTCGGAACAGAAAAGGAAAATTGTAAAAGAGGGAGAGAGAGAGAGAGAGAGAGAGAGAGAGAAAGAAAGAGAAAGGAAGATGCATGCATGCATGCGTATGGGTAAGAAAAGAAAATTAACAAAAAGAAAAAGTTAGCTGTGATGCATTTGTGAGGAAGAAAAGGAACGGGATTTGACCCCCTTTTCTTTTTTTTTTATATATATAAATTATAAACGTTCGAATAAGTTAAGTATGTAAAGAGAATAAGAAGAAAAAAAAAAATAAACGAACCGGAGATCGCCGGTTCACGCCATTTCTATTGTACGGTATATGCCATTTGTTATTGATTCTTGTCATTGTCAAAGAGTTTTGGGATTATATACAAATATTCTGTAATAATAATAATAATAATAATAATAATGGTAATAACGATAATAATAATATAATAGTAATATTATTAATAATTTCTATTTAGACGAGAGAAAAAAAAAAAAAAGAAAACAGAAAATAGAAAAAGGAGAAGAAAGAAAATTAAGAGAAACACATGACGTATTTTGAAATTTCACAATCAGTCAAATTATGTAAATCAACATATAATTCGTTTCAATGATTTTTTTCGTGCGTTAAAAATATTGGTACACAACAGATGTACGTGTAATTCCTAGAAAGCCTTTTTTTCCCCTTCATGAGAGTTCTTTCATGGAACGATTTGACGATGTCACAATGATTACAAACAATAAAGACAAAAGTACGTCCAAATACCGTTTTAAAGGAAGCAGTGGTTCTCAGCGAGGTCGCATTTGTGCATTTGAAGGTCCCCTATAGATGCTTCATACAAGTTTATTTTGATTTATTTGACTTCGTACGATTTATTTGTTATTACGAAATTAATTAAAAATATAATTCATGCACATAATTCAAGCAAAAATAAAATATAGCTTCCATTGTTGAGTATAAAATATGTTAATAATTAAAAATAATGACTTGCTTAGATGGTAACTAAATATATTACAATATTGCTCATAAATTTTCTACGCGAGTAAGTCAGATTTTAAATTACATAATTAATAAATCTAAGACATCATCAGTTTTTAACACCTAGCGTACCGTACGTTAAATTCGACTTTGATTACACTTAATTTATTCGTCTTTTTCTTAAATTGCTGGCATCGCTTTTTCATTATCTCGCGAAATGTATGTGAACATAATTACCCGTTAATTATTTATTATCATTATCAAACTTGTTAAATATTTAAACACGTGTTAAACGTCTCCTTTTCTTTTCCAATAATTTTTGGTATCCTCGTACTTCCCAAAATAAACGAGTCTTCCTCTCCATAAATCATCAAGAAAGAGAGAGAGAGAGAGAGAGAGAGAGAGGGGGCAAAAACATGATAAAATTATTCAAAAATGTTAGACCTCACTTCGAAGACAGCTAACACGATCGATACGTCGATACTATTACGATGATATTAATGAAAGTCCTAAGAAGAAAAAGTTGCGTGTATGTATGTGTATATAAATGTGTGTATGTGT